GTCCTGAAAATACAGTATTTTCATCATCAAATGCACAGCATTATTTAGGACATATTTGCTAACCATTTAAATAAATGGCCAACGCACAGACTGCCCGTGCGAAAATGCGTTTCTTGCATAGTTCCCCGCAATTTTTGTCGCTACCGGCACCGGTTTATTCGGCAAATGCTTATAGCTAAACAATTTAAGACTGACCGCCAGAACTGTCAGGAAACACACTCTTAAAATTTCAGCTTTCTAGCTTTCCTGGCTCCTGAATTAGCAACTTACTGGAAAAAAAACTTTCACGGGCCGTACGCGGGCACCACGCACACCCGGGCTGGGTTTGAGTACATTAATGTCCACCTGGACGGGGAACATTGCTTTAATATTTCAGCCTTCTAGCTTTTCAGATCCCTGAGTTATCAATCCATCCGAAAAAAACTTTCACCGGTCCGTACGTGGGTACCACGCCTACCCGGGGACTGGGTTTGAGCTCATTAATACCCATTTGGACGGGGAAAAATCTCCTCAAGATTTCAGCTTTCCAGTTTCTCAGAGCCCCGAGTTATGAACCTACCCGGAAAAAATTTCATGGGCCCTTAAGTGAGTACCACGCACACCCAAAGGCTGGGTTTGAGCTGAATGAGACTTAGGTGGACGGAGAATATCCTCCTAAAATTACAGTTCTTTAGCTTTTCAGGTACTCGAATTATCAACTTACCCGAAAAAAGCTTTGGCGGGCCCGTATGTAGATACCGCGCGTACCCGGGGGCTGGTTTGAAGCTTATTATGACTTACGTGGAGAAGGAACGTTTCCGCAAAATTTCAGCTCTCTAGCTTTTCTGATCCCCGAGTTACCAACTTACCCGAAAAAAACTTTGGCGGGCTCATGCGTGAGTACCACGCATACCCGAGGGCTGGGTTTGAGTTCATTAATACCTACTTGTACGGGGAACATTCCCTCAAAATTTCAGCCCCCAAGCATTTCTGTTCCCGAATTAGCAACTTATCCGTAAAGAACTTTGGCGGGCTTTTACGTGGGTAACACACGGGTAACAACGTCCATTTTGGGACTGCATGTAGATTAAGTTCCCAAAGTTTCAGCGCTGTAGCTTTTGTAGGCCTTGAGATGAAAAACCGGTACAGACGCACACACGTACACACAGACACACGCACAGACAACCCCTCGTCAATATGCGTTTTCTGCATTGCATGGTTGCAAAAAAACGCGAAAAAAACTAAACAAAATTCGTTTCAGTTTTAAAGGGGGCAAGCACGAGGCCATACGCGTCACAGATAGGAAGACTAGCAATTTTTCACAAGAAACAACCTCTTCGTCGACATCATATTCCAAGATATTATCCATTTCTTTATTCGGTCTCACACGAAACTTGATATAGTTCTTCGGAAGATCAAAAGGTTTGATCGATCCGCCAACATTTTTCGATGCAATTCGGCGCACTTTCACTTTTGGCAAAGTTATACCTGCCGTTGCCTGAAATAAACCATCAAAATATAATAATGTGCATTATTGCTTCAATAATGACAGCCACATGCCAGCTAGTGGCAAGACTGTTCGTTGGCTGGGTGCTTTAGAAGTGACAAAAAACATTCGAGATGAGGTGCTGACGCAAAGCAGACGGCTGAAGTCTAGTCATGTACTTGTGTCGAAAAAATAACTAACGAGGTCCAACTGTGGTAAAGGTAAGAAATGTATACGACTTAATGGACCAAAACATTTCGTACCTAATTTATTACTTCTTTTTATATCTTTCCCTTTTTCACTCTTTTTTGACCTTTTCTATCATCCATTTCTACATTTTTCGCCGAAATTTTCACTTAACCTTAAATAACTAAGCACAGGGAATCCCTTCAGTAAACGGTAAGGACGTCAAAATCGCTAACGGCGGGTGACCATCGAGCAATGCAGTATTGATCAGGACAAAGGAAAATTTCCTTGCTGCATAAGTGAATAACAAACTACGAATTACAACCAAACTAAGCATGTATGTCAAACTTAATAGTTAAATACACCTGATTTAATGGTGTTTGCTTTTAGTGGTCTGTTATCGAGCAGTAAGTAGAAGATTCACGCCTGTGGTTCACCAGTCCCTCTACGATTCGTTCATTCGTTTCGATGGTAAATTGGTACTGACATATGCCATGGAGTCAAACTGCTTGTAGGCAACCCTCAAAACAAGAAGGTCTCACCTACAGCCTTGCTTGCGGATGGTTTCTGTTGGCATTTGCTATCAATCGGGCTAATAACTTTCCGATTTTTTCTGTCTCATACTAACGGCCAGGATGGAGGATTTTTGACAGTAGTAGCATATACTGCTTGGTTTGATATTTGCTTTATGTACACGTTAATTGCTGCCTTGCCCTTGTCCTACTAGCCATTAGATGAACATCTTCACAGGTGCGCCACACTCACTGTTCACAATAGGACAAGCTATAAACTCGAAAATTTTGGCCTCAATTCAAGCAGTTTAACAGGTTTAAGCTAGATAATGAAATTCCCTTGACATACACTCAAACAGAGCTCAGCATCATACTACACATGACAGTGAGTATCTTTGAAGTGCCCTAAGTCGTGGTGCAAGTGCAAATCGATGCTCATTTTAGGTATACGATTTCCCACATGGGCGACAAACATGCAGACAAAATTTCAGCCACTGTTTTCCGGCAAGTTTTCGAGTTAGCACGGTACCAAGTTACAAAACTTTAACTTTGAGTGCACACATATACTACTATATACTTTTGTGAATATTGCTGATTATATATACTTTTGTGATTACTGCAGACACACATATTAATATAACACCTGGGAATGGAGATGTGGTAATATGGCTCATTTTTATGCTGAAAATTAACATTACTGTTGATTTTATAAGGAAAAAAACATATTTTCCTATTAAAAAAAGTTTTTTTTCCTTTTTTTTTTGGCAAATACTTAAGCCTATAAAGCGTAGATCATCTACAATACACAGTCTACGATTATCAACTATCCCGCTACTTTTACTACGCCATCTGATGGTCAGCATGTTACTGGTCGAGGCGCCTGTCCAGTCCCCTGAAGGGATTACCAGTACCACGATCCCACCCCTTCCCAGCAGAAAAATACTTAACTGTTTCGAGATATGCCCGATTTGTTTTGAGCATCGACACCTCGTCTTAAACGCTGTAATTTCTAGACCCCGGGGAAGTCCCCGCCCCCCTTACCAGAAGGAATTTCCACAAAAAATCACCTCTCGGTATCGAGCCAGCACAGCGCTGCTCCGTTTCTCGGGCGGTACCTGATCATCGGATACGTGATGAACGATCAACGGCTGCATTACGTTGATCCGCACTGTGCGACCTTCAATCGAAACGTTCAACATACGATCCAACATCGCCTGCCGCCTCCTACATCAGTACTCCAGAAGCACTGGAAACCTGAAATAAAATTCCTTGCTTCATATCATCACCTTATTTTGAGCGCTGCCATTTCTCTAGACCACGGGAAGGTGTTGAAGTGATCCATCTTCATCCAGTTTCTTATATTAAAAGAAGTAAAACAAGGTGTGAAACAAGGTGACATCTGCTCTCTGAAAGCTTTCACCGGTGCGCTGGAACGCGTCACCAGAAATATGGCTGCAACAGATGGAATCAGTATCGATGGCGAGAAATTGCAAATGCTACTTTTTGCGGGCCATATAGTCCTTGTCGTAGAAAGCCCTCAATCGCTGCAGAATTTGCTAAACGAGCTCGCGGGAAACACAAGGAAAACAGGGGCTCACAGTTAACATCAATAAAACCAAGTGGTTGAAGAACGCCTACTGTGCTCGGTTTCGACATGAAGCTGGACGAAAACTCCGTTGACATTGTGGACAGCTATACCTACTTGGGACAAACAGTGCAGATGAACAACGACTTGGACATCGAAATAATGAAAAGGACAAAAGCAGGGCAGGCAGTTTTCGCCAAGCTCAGCGATATATTCTACAGCAGAAATCTTCAATTTCACCGTTTTATCAGCTGTGTTATATGGATGTGAGACATGGAATGTCACGCTTGCTGAAGGACGGAATGAATGGATGGAATGGTTCGTCGTGAGACGACGAAAAGAGGAAATGAAATAGATTGTGAAGTGCATATGTGTATTATAAAAAGTTAAGAAGATGTAAGGAGAACATGTGGGGAAGCTAAATGTGAAACTGGCTGTCTGTGTTTCATCCCTAAGCTGCAAATACAGACAGTATGAGGTATGGACTGGGGTGGGAATCATCAATGCAGCCCCCAATTAGCAGTGTCTCGGACAGCAGTGGAGCGACGGATGGTTGGCGTCAACAGGCTACTGCACATTCCTAGTGAAGTACTACGAGTCAAATCTGGTGTGAAGGACATTATCGAATCAATGTACGCCAGCACGAAGAGATGGGCTGGTTTCACATGCCGTAGATGACAGACAACAGATGGACGAAGCGGATAATGGAATGGCACTCACGCATGGTCAAGCGAACACTGGGGAGGCCACCAGTGAAGTGGAGAGACCCAATGGTACGCCTGTACAGTATTACGTGATCTCGGACAGCGCAACAACGAGGTGAATGGAGGAACTCCCAGCTGCATCGATGGCGCCACAACGAACATCCGTGACATAGAGCTACCCAGATATTCAAGTTACCCAGACATTCAGGTAAGAATCCCCGGAAGGGAAGAATCACCCGAGCGTCTCCCAAGCAGGTGGCACACATACACAGAACAAGCATTGAGTAC